TTGTTCTCCGTCCTGATGCTGTACCGGTGCGTCACAAGCTCCGCCGACTCCCGTATGCTGTTCGTGAAGAGGTCAGCCGCGAGCTGGACCGACTCCAGGAGGAAGGAGTCATCGAACCGGTCGAAGTCAGCGACTGGGTTCACCCGATGGTCGTCAGCAGGAAAAGGAACGGGAAGCTGCGCATCTGCGTGGATCTCAGGGACCTGAATCGACAGGTCATCGCCGAAGTTCATCCCCTGCCGACGGCAGAGGAGCTCCAAGACCAGCTGAAGGGCAACATCTTCACAGTTATCGACCTGCAGAGCGCATACCATCAGCTGGAGCTGGAGCCTGCTTCCCGTCAGCTCACCACGTTCCTGACTCACCGAGGCCTACGACAATTCACGAGGGTACCGTTTGGTCTGGTCTCGGCAGGATCTGCGTTCCAGAGATTGCTGGACAACCTGCTGGACGGCATCCCGGGATGCGTTCACTACATGGACGACGTCGCGGTCGTGGGAGTGTCACAGGAAGAACACGACGACCGTCTTCGGCGCGTCATGGCCCGACTGAAGGAGGCCAACTTGACAGTCAACAGAGAGAAGTCTGTGTTCAGCAAAGCAGCTGTCGACTTCTGTGGCTTCACGCTGTCTGCGTCGGGAGTCACACCACTGCAGTCACAGATCAAGGCCGTGACTGACGCACCACCGCCGGAGAACGCCAAGGAGCTGAAGTCGTTCCTGGGGATGTGTGGATGGTTTCTCAGGTTCGTCCCTGGGTACGCCGAGACCGTCCATCCACTGTACCGGCTGCTGAAGAAGGGCACCAAGTTCGTCTGGGACGACACAGCGAACCGAGCTTTCAACGAGGTCAAGCTGAAGATAGCTGCAAGCCCGACACTGAAGCCGTTCGACCAGAGCCTGCCTACATTCGTCACGTCCGACGGCAGCGGCAAGGGCGCTGGAGCTGTACTCACGCAGCTGAGCTCCGATGGAGAAGAAAACGCCGTAGCGTTCTGGTCTCGGGCGTTCACCCCTACCGAGCAGCGCTACTCAGTGTCTGAGCTGGAAGCACTGAGCGCTGTTCTCGCCGTGGAACACTGGAAACTGTATCTGTGGGGACGTCCGTTCACTCTCCGCACAGATCATTCGGCGCTGCAGACACTGCTCTCGCCCAGCTTCTCGGGGAGAGCGGGCGCGAGGATCGCGCGCTGGCAGGCACGCCTGCTGCCGTATGCGTACACAGTCCAGTACGTGCCTGGCCGGAACCTAACTCCTGCAGCAGACGCCCTCTCCAGGATGCCAGTCCCTGCCGAAGAAGCGGACCTGCATGAAGACAGCTCCGCTGAAGAAGAGGTGATCGCTCTTCTGACAGATGAAGAGAGCGTGCTGACCGAGCAAGACGTCCGCACCGCGTCAGCTGCTGATCCTGAGCTGCAGCAGCTGCGTCATCAGATCAAGCGCGGCTGGCCGAGCAGCGCCAAGGCCTGCCCGGTTGAAGTCCAGCCGTACTTCAAGATGAGACACGAGTTGTGGGTGCGCAACGACGACGTCATCCTGAGAGGAGCCCAACAAGTTGTTGTGCCCGTTCAGCTCCGCCGCAGATACCTGGAGCTGGCGCACAGCGCGCACGACGGAATCGTCCGCATGAAACAGGCGCTGCGGAATCTGGCGTGGTGGCCCGGCATCAACCGTGAGGTGGAGGAGCTGTGCCGAAGTTGCGAGCGCTGCCAGCACAGCGACGCAGTCCTCTCCCAGCGCGCACGCCCTGCGCCCATGCAGCCAGTCGACCTGCCGGACCGTGCCTGGTCGAAACTGGGAATGGATATCGTTGGTCCAATCAACGGAGCACCAGCGACTGCCCGTTACGCCATCACTCTGATTGACTACAGAAGCAAATGGGCGGAAGTCTGCCTGACGTCATCGACTGAGACTGAAGACGTCATCAAGTTCTTGTCAACTGTGTGGGCCAAAGAGGGCTATCCCGACGAGATCGTGACGGACAATGGGCCTCAGTTCACGAGCAGGGAGTTCACTACGTATCTGGCCGCCCGAGGGGTGAAGCACACCAAATCGTCCGTCTACTGGCCTAGAGGCAACTCCGCCGTAGAGCGCTTCAACAAAACGTTCAAGTCGTGGATCACAGACTGTCCACCAGCAGCGTTCATTGACGAGGTACGCAAGAGCCTGGCGGTGTATCGAGCCACCCCACACACGACAACTGGGAAGTCACCGTCAGAGCTCCTGCATGGACGACAGATGAGGCTGAACCTGCCTGTCATTCAGCCGTCAACACCAGGAGCCGACAGTGTGGCGTCTCGAGTTCGACGCCGACAGCAGTCCAACAAGAGGTCCTACGACCGCCGCCGTGGCGTGACGACGCCGCGCATCACTGAGGGCGACTACGTCTGCGTGAGACGGCAGGGACACCGCTCGAAGACGTCCTGTCGGTTCACGTCTCCGGTGCGAGTCACTGGGCGCGTCGGTCCCGCAACGTACCGTCTGGCTGACGGCCGGACCTGGAACGCCGCCCATCTGGCCCGTCTCCCATACGCGCCGGCGTCTCCCTCAGCATCTCCCCCCGCTGGGCCCGGCGAGACCACGTCGACCGCCACGACTTCCGAGGCCGACGCCGCTGGCCCGCTGACCTCGCTCGCCGCTGCTTCTCGCCCGTCGACCGAGACAGCTTGCGAGCCGTCGCCGGACGCCGCCGATGTGAGCGTGCAGCGTCCCAGGCGAAGCGACCGTGCCTGTAGACGACCGGACTACTACGTGTCGCAGTGATGCTGTTCCTTTTTTTGCGAGAGGGGGGGATGTGTAGTGTATCGAGTACCTAGTGCATCGGGTGTCCGAGGCTCGGCATCGGGCCCCCGGTAATACGAGTGTGAGGCGGCCGCACCCTGCTCGGCTCGAGTCAGAGCCAGCAGTCGAGAGGCTCCGCCCGGCCGCACAGCACGACAGTGCCTTAGTGTTTTGCACCGCGAGGTTGTGAGAATACATCGGAATCCGGAGACGGCGGTGGACACTACATCGATATATGTAGTTCAATTTGTTTTATTCTTACTTTTCTTTTAGAACAAACATGCGATGCATCACATGCATTACTCTGCACATTGTCGATAAGTTATCTTTATCATTTTAAAATGTGTGCGCTGTGCGTCTACTTACAATAGACATGGTAACGTCTCCGGATTACGTTGTATTGGAACATGTGTCTACGACATTCACCTCACTTACTAACAACAATTAAACACCATGCAACGAAAAACGTAGGTATCTGATATATCCAATCTGTTTTCTCTATCACCAAAATCAAACACACAAATAATTTCTTTGCATACCTATACGTTTGCTGAACACCAAGTTTGTTTGACTACCAAGTACCATGTATAATATATATATATATATATATATATATATATATATATATATATATATATATATATATATATATATATATATATATATTTATGCAAAAAATGAAAATGATATCCTCAGTTGAAAAGAGATCGATATTCCTCAGTAGCATTTATTCGTATTTGAGGACAGGTAGCGCGGTGCGACGGCTGAGCGCCTTTTCGGGGTCATGTGTGCGCTCTCTCGGCATTGCCCATGTGTGCACTCGTCAGTGCCCTGCCCCGCTGTCTGGTGTAGAGCCCGCGCACCGTCCGGCCGGGGGCCCTCGTCAAGGGCTCTCAGGGGGCACCCGGGCGGCCCAACAACAATAATCGACTCCACTCGACGGCGGTAATCCATGGGAATATAGCGCTGGATAATGTTGTCGGTGTTCCCGAGGCGCGCGCTGCAAGCGGTGGTGATGGCCGGTAAAGCGGCACCTCGGCCCAGGGTCTGGGGATCGGGACACCCCCGCGCTGGAGGTGACAAAGGGAGTGTGTACCGAACCGCTTCAACACGAGCTCAATGATGTGACGATTGCACGGCGAATGTTGACATGAGTTATTGGAGTAGCTGTTTATCGTGTATGGATAGACGGCAACGGTCTGAATGTGCTACTTAGATTCTATTGTCACATCGTACTTCAAGCTGGAATTTATCGAACGGATGTGGAGCGTGCTACGGTTGGAGGTTATGCTGCATACACAGACACACCCACAAAATGCGATAGCATTCAATTTAATCTATATTATCAGAGATTAATATTTGAAACTAACAGAATATCAAATAGAAATGATTTTAGCCACAGGTGTTCGTTTTAACATCAAGTTTCCTAGTTGCCTTGATAATTAGATCCAAGGAATGAAAGCTTGCTTTGCAAACAAATTGCAGTATGTTTCCTCTTGCTGCTTTATATATCAACACAACCCAGGCGCGGATACAAGGGGGGGGGGCATGGGGGCCATGGCCCCCCCTTGGCCGATTTTTTTTTTTTAAATAAAATAAAAAGTTAAAAAGTTAAAAAGCTGAAAAGGGGGCCTCCTGAAAATAAAGTGGCCGAAATCCGATGAGTTTTTTTTTAACCTACCCACTTAGTTATTTCTTAGAAGACTAGCTGAGAAGACTTCTTTGTTAGAAGATTGGTAAAGCTTTTCATAACTTGGAGGTCTCTTATACTCACAGAGATGACCACTTTTACAGGGCCTCCTAACCTGCACAGAGGGCCTCCAAGCCTGCACAGATGTTGAGATGTTGCCTGAACAGCTAGATAAGCTCAATAGACGCAGTTTTTTTGGGGGGGGGCCCAACAAGTGGGAAGATGGGGCCTCCAACAGGTGGGATTATGGGGGGGGGCCTCCTGGTTTCTAATGGCCCCTCCCTTGGAGATTTTCTGGATCCGCCCCTGACACAACCCAAACATGAGCTGTGATTTTGACATTGTGCCAGTAACACTGTCATCGGTCTTTGGCGGACATTGTGATGCTCGGATCTGCTTTTTAACTAGACAAACTGCTCCGTTACGCGACATCCAGGGTTTGCGGACGAGACAGCGTGAATGAATGCCGTTTAAAATGCTGGCGCCACCCAGCACACTGATTGCCCTAACTCAAATATGCGTTCTTGCAGTGGCGTGGGGCTCGGCCGAGTGCACTTCGAGAAGCAGCCGCCCTCCAACCTGCGCAAGAGCAACTTCTTCCACTTTGTGATCGCCCTGTACGACCGCATCGGCCAGCCCGTCGAGGTCGAACGAACCGCCTTCGCCGGCTTCGTCGAGAAGGACGAGGTAGGAGTAAGGTTCATATTCATCACGATGTGCTAGGTAGAGCTAAGTTCATCTGTCAGCCAGGTCTCCATTTGTCAGCTGTCCGGACATCTGGTTTTCAACGACCACATTTCTATCGGCTCGTCTCCCGAAATGGCCCCCATCCCAGTGGACCGCTGAGTAGTCGGTCAGGACACGCGGTGCGTGTGAGTGCGGTCCGTGCCCGTGTCACCGCTCCTTGCCCCGATCGATGGCACCCGACCGGCTACCGCGCGCCGTTTCTCCTCACCCTCATCCGGCCGTAAGAGAAATGATAAATACTTAATCTCCTTCATCCGGGGTATTTTTTCTGAGTCCCGATATTATTTTGACTTCCCCTCGCGGCTCTCCCGCGGGAGTCGTCTGTGTGCTCAACTGGGGATCGATCTGCCACTGCGCGCCGCGCCGTCTCGCCCCCGGCCGCTCCCGTCACCCGGTCTCTCTCTCTCTCTCTCTCTCTCTCTCTCTCTCTCTCTCTCTCTCTCTCTCTCTCTCTCTCTCTTTCTCTCCCTCACTGCAGCGCTGAAGGAGCCCGTCATCCGCTCTCTATAGTCGATGGACGGCGCGAACCGGGACCGCACCAACACAGGGAAAAGTCTATCCAGTCTATGATAAGTTGAGACAGATAGGATTTGACTAGCAACGCGCACACGCTGGGTTTTTCTCTTTTTTTGTCTATCTTTCCGTGGTTTTGATGGATAAAAATTCGAAGCACACAGTATCCCCAAAATAAACAGTGAATCGTCTTAGCAATTACACGAAGAATAAACAATGATATTGATCTCTTCCTTTACAGGAACCCGAAGGTCAAAAAACGAATAATGGTATTCATTACCGATTGCAGCTGTTATTTGCCAATGGTAAGTACCTACTTGTCTTCTTCAGTACACAGTTATTGTGATTTTTTTATATAAAAAATATTACATAAATTTAATGAAATAATCTCTTTCGCGATAATCGCATCGTTAAATAACTAAAACCAGTTTCATATTCAGAGACAGCAATATTTCAACATGATGAAGCTTCTTTATGTAGCTGTGTCTTTCAGAAACATTTGTCCTGAAGCTCTCACACTTCAATTAATAATTCATCCAAGAGTTCAATGTCGAAACACACATGCCAAAACCGCGCTCCTTGTTAAACTCGCATTCATGTCATTTTTTCTTTTTTATTACAGGTGCCCGGCAAGAGCAGGACATTTTTGTACGTCTCATCGATTCAGTCACAAAACAGGTAAGTCCCGCTGGATTTCCTGCTGATTTTCATGTTGTGGCTCATATATGAAATGTTCTCCTTAGTCGAATATTTTCACAAACTCCATTCAGATTTGTGCATTATCACTTAATTCAGCAGTTCATGCTGTGCTTTTGTGTAAGCGATCTTTTGGTCTGGCCTTATTTATGCCCAGGAAGAAAATTAAAGAGTTTTGTGGGCGCCGTGCAACGTATAAAAATGAAGTGGTCTGACGTAGCCCCTAATGGGAGGCGCAATGCTAAAAGATGATAAGAAGTAGCACAATCTCAATAAAAACGAACATTGCGAGACTTGCCCACAGTCCACTTTGGCCCCTTCCTCCCCGCGGGGTGAGGTTTAGCGCTTTTGTGGATACCGGGGTGTGCGAGTGCTGTGAGGCTCTGTGCAGACGCGGCTTCCGTGAGTGCCCGTGAGTGCCCGTGCTCCGTGAGTGAGTTCCTCTGTGCCCCTCGACCGCCCCTCCCCGCCGTCGGTGCCGCTGCCGATGGGGGTAGGGGGGGGGGGGGACTCGCCGATGGAGCCGTCGGCTGACCGTCCGGTCCGGATTACCCGCGCTTTTGTCATCGGCCGGCGCCGCGCCGCCTTTGTTTCCGGGCGATAAGCGGCGGAACCGCCTATTACCGCGCCAACAGGCCCACGAATATCCGGTAAGCCCCCGGCCGGGTCACGTGCCGGTCACGTGTCACTGGGGGCGGAGTCAGAGGGGCGCCGGGACGCCGGAGGGCGCCGGTGGGGTGCCACCAAACCAATCGGCCAAACCAAACAGGCGCCGCCGGCCGGCCCGAGGTGGAGCAGTCGGACTCGGCTCCGGCCGCCGGCGGCACGTGACCCACGGAGCGATACTCGGCCCAGTGCAAACACATCGTCCGTGTACCGCTTTGTGCCGCTCCGACTCTGTTTAAAGACCCGGCGACGGCGCCCGCCAGAGAGCAGTCAGAGAAAATCGGATTACCCGTGAATTTAGACGACTACCCGCCCGCACCGACCCGACTCGACCCGCCAATCCTCCCGCACCCACGCCACTGGAGACGAGCGACAGTCGAGGCACCGCCGACGCAAAATGTGCAGAATTTAGCATCTTAATTGGGCCAATAAAGTTAATTATCACGCCTGGTTTCCTCATATTCAGCGATCTCAAATTAAAATTAGCTGGTGACTGGCCTGATTAAGTGACAGAGAAAAAGATAATGCGTTAGCTCCCCCACATTGTTTGACGGAAATCTAGAAAATACTACCCACAGAAACAAAAAGCTCGACTTTACAAGAAACGTACCTATTAATTCACTTTGGTTTTATCCTGTTGTCTGATATTAACAAGGTCGTTATTGTAGTACTGTTCTCTGAACTGTTACTGGCAAAAATATTTGCGTATGCGTAAGAGGTCACAAGAGGTCATCACTAAACCAAATCCGTCCAAGACTATATAATTCAGCGTGTAAAGTAAAACCATGCGCAACAATTTGGTGCTTCATGACAACTTGCAACGGTATCCTTCGAAGTCTGTTTTTGTAGCGTAAGGCTATTCGTTATTGAAACATACCGCGCCATTTGAGTGGACTTAGTTCCACCATGGAATGGATAATCCATGGTCCATGGAGTGTGCTTGTAATATGTTTCACTGGGTTCTGTTTCTGGCGACTTCTATTCCTTACGTTCGTTATCCTCTGATAAGCGCGGCACTGGAAAGGCCGACATGGCCATTGGTCAGCTGCTCACCTCTGAGTGCCATGGGGTCCGGTCGGCTGTCGGGGCGCCGCGCCGTGGGACCCGGTCGGTCACCGACCGAGTACCGCTGGTCCCGGACCGGTGGCACCCAGAAGGGTCGGTCCTAGCGCTCCGCTGACGGCATAGCGCGCCCGGCTCGGCTAGGGGGCCAACAAAGGACGCCCTCCACCGGCCTTCTATCTCGTTTTCCAGATTACGCAAAAAATAGAGCCATCATCAGCGGGCCATATGCATGACAAAGCGCCGCGCGGTCCGCGGGGGCCGGCGGGGGGCGGAGGGCGGTCTCGGCTGGTCTCGCCAGCCTGTGACACTGGGAGCCTCTGACAGCGAACCCGGGGGCGCCGTCAGCCTCCCGCAACGACCATATGCTCAGCGAGGGACCGGCAGCCTAACCAACGCCTAATGGTGTTAGCTCTGATGGTCGCTTGTGCTTGAAATCATTAACAAATATTCACAAATGAATGCGGGAATGGCAGAATGGTGACTATGATTTTCGGAAAACGTGAGCGTTAACGTTCCATTCATAAGACTAGCTTTTACTTATCATTCGACATAAAGGTATAAGTGAAGCGATGGCGTTCAAATTTCACATGCTGCACATGTCGTATCGATAGTTAATTACACCCTGACTGGAGCTGTTATGCTAATCATTTGTGAATGAGGGCTTACAATTACGTAACAGAAACTGTTGCGCAAATATCGTTGCAAATAGCGTGCCACGTACCGAACACTTCAATTCTTTACGTTCATAGAGAACAACATAAAACGGTAACATCAACCGAGAGTTACTTTGCTTTACGACAAAAATGTTGTCCATTTGATAGCAGTTAGCACTATTAACTAAATGTAATTATTAGGAGCATTAGTAGGCGTGAGGTTTGGTATATGTACATAAGTCACTGAAAAAAAACACACAATTTATACATAGCAGCACCTAGATGTTAAAATGCGAATTGGAATTTTAGGCAGATAATGATTGATTGCTTGACCATGAACCAAATGCCGACACATAGCCCTTTACCATGGCGCGGAGCAGCTGCGGTGAAGCCCCCCCCCCCTCTGTGGAGTATTACCGCATTCCTGTTGCACCGGTGCGGTATCACCAAGTTGGCCCGGTGGTGACTCACTATGTAATATGTATGTACATCCATAATTCAGGGGTGGCATACCGGCTCTCGGTTCACCGGATCGCTCCCCTAATCCATCAATCTGCCGACAGAGCTACCGCGCTCGACACTAATTAATTACAGAAGGCGCTCTAACGGGCCCCTCTCGCCGACTTCTCAGCGGTCTCAGCACCCCAAACAGTCCGACCGGGGTCATTCTAAACGGATGGGGTGCAACGGAGTCAAAATTACACCAAATTACGTTGTCAATGATTTTTTGGGGGAGATGCAGGAACCATTCGCGTCTGTTTTTCATTCAAACATCGGACAAGCTTGCAAGACCCCGGGGTTTTGTTAATTTAAATCCGGACTTCGTCGATGGGACCTCTGGGCCCAGTTGGTCCATTTGCGTGTTGCCCGCTCTACCACCAGAGCCCAGTTGGCCCATTGGAGTGTTGCTCGCTCCCAGAGCCCAGAGCCCAGTTGGTCCACCCGCAGAGCGCGGTTGGTCCGACCCCGCAGAGTGCAGTTGTTCCGACCCCTGGAGTCCAGCTGGTCCTGTGGAGTGCTGTTGGTCCGACCCCACAGACCGCTGTCGTCCCGACCTCCCCGGAGATCCGCACTGATCCTCTCGTAATCCGTCCGACTAGCAATTTGCCGGCGGCCACCGTCCGGCACAATGCGGCTTTAAGCGGGTGTTTGCTGGCGCTGCGGGCGGCCATCTGTGCCGACGATCTGCCGTCGGACCGAGAGTCGACGCCGACGCAGGGAGATCCAGGATAGTCGCTGTCCGACGGGCAGCGGGCGGCCAGCTCTGCGTCAATAAAGATGGCCGATAGCCGGATAGCTGCCCGGCGCGGCGACCGCGTACTGAGACAAGGAGATAGGGCGGAGAGACGGAGAGAGGGAGTGGAGACGCGGAGATAAAGGGTTGGAGACGGAGGGAACGGAAGGATGGATGAGAGATATAACAGACGAAGGATGCAAAGGAAACGCGGAGATAAAGGGTTGGAGACGAAGGGAACGGAGATAGGGTGGATGAGAGATATAACAGACGAAGGATGCAAAGCAAACGCGGAGAAGGACCCGAGAAAGAATGACGCGGCGATAGGGCAAAAGACGGAAATGATATGAAACTGTATGTGAAATGGTGCATACAAATTTAGGTCGTTTTATGCTTTGCTATTCATGCATTCTGTCTGCTAACTATCGTGCAATTACACCCATGCAACAAAATGTTACATGTGGTCGTTTCTGCTGGTTCTTTTTAATTGCCGAAAAAATGCATCAAATCAGGTGATCGAAACGACTGAAAGTGTGCTTTACTAATTGATGTTCTTTTTTCAGGCAATCATCTACGAAGGTCAGGACAAGAACCCGGAAATGTGCCGCGTCCTCCTCACTCACGAGGTCATGTGCAGGTGAGATATCTATTATACCTTCCCCGTCGTCCCACGGGTCTTCCTGGTCACATATCTCATAACAATATTTACCCCTGTGGCATAACTTCCACGGGCTCTCAGTCCCTCTTAGCACCAGTGACACTGGTTGAGCTGTGCTGAGCCCTCCTGATCAGCTCTGATCCAGACTGGGTCGGGCTGACCGTCTGCCGTCTGCCGTTGCTCGCCTGTCTGCGCCCGTCGGTGCCGTTATCTTGGCCGCCATGCCGTCACACATCGCTGGCCAGCCGTCACGTCGGACGTCAGCAGCGCCAAACGCCAGCAGATGACAAGGCCCCGGCACCGGCCGACCAAACAAAACGGCTGCCGGGGGGCCGAGGGCTGAGGGCTGAGGGCTGAGGCGCGGCTCCAGTTCGCAGACGAGCTGTCGCACAGCCGTGTGCCCCCCACTTGTCTGCGCGTCCGTGCGTGGCCACGATAATGACGGCACAAAGGACACCTCCCCGCCGCGAAAATGGGACCACCAGCCAGAACGAAGCCGCACAATGTGGCGCCCTTTGGCGGCGCGTGTGCCGGCCGCCGCGCTGGCACCTGTTGGTCGCGTCTAACAGAGGACGGGTCCGAACCGGCCCGCCGCGCCGAGCGGAACCGGCCAACGGGACGAGAGAACCATCTGCTTACGAATTAAATGCGCCACACATTTATATATCTGGCATTTATCAGCAGGACTTTGCGCCGTAGTTGGTCCGCTTTGTTTGCTTTGGTGGTCGTCGATATGAATAAGGGCATGCAGTTTTTTGTGTACCTATTGTAGGTAATTGTTATGCTAAAGACATTCTACTTTTACTCCTTGATTGGACTTGCACGGAATATTCTTATGCGTTTTTCATCTTGCCCTCTGACTCTATTTCGGTATTTTTTCAGCCGGTGTTGCGACAAGAAGAGCTGCGGGAACCGTAATGAGACGCCGTCGGACCCGGTGATCATCGACAGGTGAGTCGGCCGCCGCTGCCGTAATCGTCACAGGCGGTCATCTCCAGGCACATGTGGCATGCCGTCTGACCACTGTAGTGTCAGTTCACACAGTGTAGCCGCGGGCTGGAGAGGCTTTTCTGATCCAGCTACCCACATAGTAAGCGAGCCTCACGTTCGATCAACGCTCTCGCAATCTGAGTCCTACTTCGATCAACGCTCTCGCAAGTTTAATCCATAAGTCTTTACTCATATCTCACCTCTTGTGATTTGTGCTATGCAGATTTCTCCAACGTCTCCACCGGCATCTAATTTTACACTTCAAGGTTGTGACTCGAGATAGCCCACTCTCCTGAGTACAATGCAGTCATTTAGAGACAACTCAATTGACAACTCCTTAGCCCTCCGTAGCTGGTGTAGCGACCATTGTGACTCAAAGCCCTTCGCCATACCTAATGAACCTGTCTCCCAGTGCTGGGTCAGATCACTAAGCATACCTACTCGACTTTCGAGCCTCCTGCCCATGCCGTTGTTTTCACCACTGCTCGGGTGTCTGGACGGCCGCTGTGTCGGAGTATGCGCGTGCGGTCCGTGCAGCGCCGCGCCGGTCCCGGGCGGCGCGGCCCCTGGGGAATCCGTCTCCCCCCGGGGGCAGGTGGCCGCGCCCCGTAATGCCATTACCGGGCAGGGCGGCCGCACACAGCCAGTTGGGTCAGAACAACAGCGCCGAAAGCACGGAGACAGCGCGATTGCGCGGAAACCGAGCCGGCAGAGGGACTGCTTCCGCGTACCCTTCATTAGTCATATCTTGTTTACGTGCACCAATTTGATAGCTGAGTGAATGTGAGGTAGCCCATTCAGGGAAGAACATAATCAATCGGAGAAAGTGATGACTAGATGACGAAAAGCCAGGAAGTGAATGACCACTCCGGGCAAAGAGGCCCTAAACCCGAAGTTTAGAGAACGAGAATCAGTCGACCCCACTACCACTCCATGCTGCGGCTCCAATGTGACACATCGGATGAGCGATGGTGGCCGATCATCCCGGTTTGTTTTAAAGATCACAACTGATGTTCGACTGAGCCATGTCTCGGTAACAATGACAGATCCCGCGCACCAGCTGGCGACACAGTCGTAAAACAATGCCACCGGGCCGCGCGGCACGGTCTCATTGTGTGCCACCGGCCGAGCACAGAGAGGACCACCGATTTGCGCCCTCCTGCCCGGCTCCCACCCCACAGACACAGCGAATAATAGACTCAATCCGCAATGTCAATGGACGCCCAACATTTGTTACAAGTATAAAATTTCAATCGATGTTAACTACTGGCGGGTCTGTCGCTCGGCTGGCCGGGCTGCAAGGGTGGCCCGCTCGCTGGAGGCCATAACGCCACCTGTCGCGGTAGAGGACCCGGGGGGCCCGGCGGTCCAAGCGGGCATTAGGGGGACTCAGAGGGTAGAGCAGTCCCCGCGGGCTGTCAGAGACACCACCAGTCGCCGCACAGACTGGCATACGAACTGACAGCCTCTGTACAGGATGGCAAAAGGGCATATTCAGCCTCCGTAATTGCCGAAAGGGGGACTCAGTTCGTTAAACGCTTTGAAACTGAAGACTTATTTTAACGCTGGATGTTAGCCGTGGGTAGTTTTTTTCCTGACTGATCAATGCACATGATTTCGGGGCCATTCTTTGCAGCGCAAGTATGCCATGCGAATACGTTCGGAGTTTCCAGGTCGTTGGGTTGGGGGTCATGACGCCGAGCGCCACAGGTGCCCCAGGGGACTTGTTCAATCGCTCAGAGTTGGGCCGCTGTTACACCATAGCCTGACCCGGCTGGCAATACTGCTGACTGAGCCGTGTCAGCAGTCTGGGACCTGAGTGGGTCGGCGGTACATCTGACGTGGAGGGCATGGGACCTGACCTTACAAGGTCGGTACCTACCTAACCAGGCCTTGTCCTGGCCGTGACCAGGGTGCCACTCGCGGCCGCCCGGCCATTAATGCCGCCGAGGTGTGCACAGGTGCTGTCCAGTGTATGCCGTGCGCGCGGCCCGGCCCCGGTGCGGCCGAGGCGCGGCCGCTGAAGTGGCATGTGTTGCTGGTTCCCCAGGGGGCACTCGGCGTGAACCACTGCCGTCCAGCTGCAGTCATTCGGCCGCGGCCGGCGGCAATGTGCAGGCTATTGGCGCCGATTGCACCTTGGCTGGATTTATTATGGGTGTCCGAGGCGAGGGAAATTGCGGCTACCACACACACACACACACCTGACAACGGCTTCAATTCTTGTAATCAAACGCGACCAGTGAAGTTGTTTTCTTCCTGAGCTAATAATTTACGATAAACGTTGTGTTTTCACAATTTCGTTGATTTATCGATAAGAAATGACAGCATGACAGCTACCCGACAGCTCAATGTGAGTCTTTAGGAGTTCCTTTTTCTACCTTGCTTATTTTCGTTCAGCAAAAACATATAGCAAAGAAAAACAACAGGAGGCATCCAGTTAAACCAACATTGAGCCAGATTATAATATCTGGTTGCATAATGAATTCGATATATTGAGGTGAAATTAGAAATAATCAGTGAACTGAAGTCAGGAACATTACTGTCCTATGATGACTCCACTGGTCGCCATGAAACAATCAGTGGTGCTTACCATTCTTCGAAGTCATATGTACGTTTCTCTAAGGTATTGGGGCAAAAATATAGTCAAATTTGAACGACAATCTTGGCTGCCATCTCTCCCAGTCGTGCAGCGCAGGGCTGTTGGCTCGCTACCTCTCCTTACATCCCACACTGAAAACAATTTAACCCAAGGCTGGCGAGTAAACCGGTGTTTTACGGGTACCCCTATCCGCAACCATTTTTAACCACCCTCCCAGGAGTAGTGCTAGGTCTCATTGCGGTGTAGTCGTACTTGCTCTGAGCGGATATAACCGCTGTCAGCGAACAAGTCCGCTGAGAGCAGGGACGACTACACTGCAATGGGGATTTACTGTACTCCTGGGAGGGTGGTTAAAAATGGCTGCGGATAGGGGTACCCGCAAAACACCGGTTTACTCGCGGGCCTTGGGTTAAATTGTTTTCAGTGCAACTCGTCTCCGACTCAGCAGCCACTGCATGAGACCGCCGCAGAGACGCCTATGCTCGCGACTGGTTCGACGGGCGTGCCGTCAGTTTCAATCTGGCAAGGCGCGCTAACGGACGATTGAGAGCTTGTAGATCAATTACGCCCCTCCCCTCCCGCGCCGCAGCTACCCATTACGTGTCTTTGTTCAGGCCTGAATGCATTGAGGCAGGGGAGGTGTGAGCGCGCCTCGGCGAGCGGCCGTCTGTCTCTGACTCACCGACTGTGTGTGACTCGAGTCGAGACGGGGAGAGGTTTGACTCGGGGCTGCCAGAGTCAGACTGTGAACTAGCGGTGGCTGTATCTGCCTTATGGTAAGCGGTGCGGGTCCTGTTCCTTTTCCAGGCGCCCCCGAATTCATGAGTCTTACTGCGCCGACCTTGCCCAGGACGCACCAGGTCGCGGAGAAGTAGGGATGGCCTAGGAGTCCCTGGACATGGGGACCGTCCTATATACCCACGAGAAGCAGCAGTCGGAAACGCGTCAAAATGCCGCTGTGAGCTGAGGAACGCGCAGAGCCCGTTTCGTGTACACGTTATGGGTGTCTGGGGACCACTTTGACTGTCTCCTACACGCCCCTGATAACCTTCCGTCCTCTCCTCGAAAGGCGGCAGTGCCGTCATCAGCGACCTGGTGATTGAACCGTCTGACCCTCCTGGAAAATCAGTTCCCTGCTGGGACTGGTTGTGGTCGGTCTGGGCCGTCGTCGGTCAGTAGGGCCTTCGGTCAGTCATTCAGCCTCTTATACTGTCGGTCGGTTCTTCAACTAGTACTTCAGCGTTCAGTATGTGTTGGTCTGTCCCTTGATAAGCTGGTCTGCCCCACGGCCGACCGGCTGGCATCCTTCCGTCGGTCGGTCAGTCGTCGCTTCGCTGGTGTATCGGTTGGTCCATTGGTCCGTCCGTCTATCGGTCGGCGGGCTCAGTCGGTGGGTCAGACGGTCCATCGGTCCATCGGTCCATCGGTCTGCGGGCTGCTCAGTCAGGCCGTCAGTCGGTCAGTCAGTCGGTTCGTCGGTTGGTCCACCAGTCGATCCGTCGGTCCGTCGATTGGTCTACCAGTCGATCCGTCGGTCCGTCGACTGGTCATTCGTTCTTTCGGTCCGTCGGTCGGTCCGTGTGTCGGTCCGTCATTCGTTCTTTCGGTTCGTCAGTTGGTCATTCGTTCTTTCGGTCCGTCGGTCCGTCTGTCGATCCTTCGGTCCGTCGGCTGGTCATTCGTTCTTTCGGTCCGTCGCGTCGGTCGGTCCGTGTGCCGTCGGTCTGCCTGTCCAATGCACAGTGGGGATTTTTCCGATCTAGCGCCTATTAATTAAAAAAATATTTTTTGGATTTTTGTTTATTTTTTGTGTCAGTAGGGCTAAGACATGTCTGAAATTTTCATATATGGCATTGTTTTATCTGTATGTCCACAGCAAAACTAGGGAAAATGCGCCCAAAGTTCACACTCATGCGTGATTACTCAATGGGCTCAGCAAGGCCCGAAAGTATAGCTCAATTTCATTGTCCTGTCCTGTTGGTTTTAATCTTGCGAGGTCTTAAAGTTGCATATCGTCTGAAAGGCACCTTTATTAGGAATGGAATGGCAAACAGAAAGTATGCCACAACCTTACTAAGGTCACAAAAATGCCCTTTACAAAAAACCCTTACAGACACCATATTGAAGGAATGGTATTCTAAATAAAGGTAGGAAATCAACAATGTTCTCCACACTTTTCCACTCCGAAATATATCCTATCGAATTCGCCACTTTCTTCGGCACAAGACAACGCCTAGTTTGGCTGCCGAAACTTGCCTGAACACGGAATATTCACATTAGAGTATCTTAACCCGCGCGGGGCTGGGGTCTCCAGCCGAACGCGCGGGGCTGGGGGGGTAAATTTTACCCCCCCTGTTAT